TCTAAATGGAGAGGAAATAAGATGATGTTTAGCTACCTTTTTAGTGAATTTTGTTTTATTATACATGACACATTTGCAATACCTTCCAATATCAACTTAAACTTATCATGATGCCTATATCTTATTTTTTTTGATTATTTCATTTATATTACAACTATTATAGATATCTAGTAATACTTTCAACAAATGAAGTTTGGAACTTTGAGTCATTTTAAATCATCATTTAAGATAACATGTTAATGATTACTTCAATACATTGCATACTATTTTAATACTTAAGGACTTAAACTTAATTTAATACTTAAGTAGGTTGGAAGTGTACGTTTTTTGTACTCTTCTTCCAAGGCAAGGAGTCTTCTTATATCCAAATTTGTGTGCTGCAGCAATATATTTAAATGATTACCACTACTTTTTTAAATTGTTTCGTATATAGTAGGGATTTTCAGGTCTTTGTGAATATCGTCATTTGTGATGTACCATCCAGCATCTACTATTGTTCGCAGAATTTTTGATTGCAGCCTCTGGACAATATTTATATTTGTCATGTCGTCATCAAACGTTGCAGTTAGTATTTCTCTACTTTTTGACTTAGGAATATCTGCTTTGTATAGTATATACAGAATCGGGCGTATTACACTCTCTTGAGGGAGACCGGCTTCTTTTTTATCATGTGGGATGTGTCGTTTTGATATTGCACAAAGAAGTATCTATGTTTAAGGTAGCTCTTCAGTAGTAAATAAAAATCGGCAGGTAATATTCTTAATAATTTGTAAAGCAATATCTAATCTTAAAAATATAACTTAAAACTAGAAGTTAACTTAATCTTAATATTTAATTTTGAAACACAAAATAAATTATTCCCAAGTATACTAAATATTTACAAAATAAACAACTTTGTCTAACTAATAATAATAAAATAATAATAATAATAACAAATTCTAATAAATAATAATATTTACAATATTAATAGTTCATCGCTGCTTAGTCATCGCTGGAGTCATTGTCTCCATTGTGCATTGCTTGCTTCCATTAAATTAGAAAACTTTACATCTGTGCAAGTTGCAGCTCGATGTGACGATTCTCCACATCCACCAGATTCCAAAACTGTTCCAAAAGGGTTTCATTTATATTGTCTTTCTTTCCATTTTTGCAGGTGTTTCAGAATCATCCAACGTAGATATTGGATCTGCTGATGGTCGTGGAGATGAGCATTGCGACAACAACGATGCATCTTTTTAATATGTGGAATTCCTTCCAGTCGGATGGCGCCCCTCCGAAAGGCCAAAACACTGCTGTTCTTTCCTGATTTCAAATAAACAAGTAATTAAATTAAAATGATTAACAGTAACTTAATATATATAAATACAAAACATTAATAAAATTACAACATACAAATCTTTTTTTATTATATAAAAGTTACATATACTATATTTAAAAAACAAAACAGTTTACGTATGAAATACTTACCTAAACCTTTCTGTGAGGTTGCAGACCTTCACTTTTACTTCCAATGATGTGACCATGAAACCTCTTTTTCTGAAATTCCGTGGCTATCTCATAAAAATATGTGCGTTCCGTCAGTCGCGCCGTAATTATTAAAGACTTTCGTCCCATAATACTAAAAAGTGCCTCTCGTCACTTTCCGATCACTCGTTTTGACATCTTTTCCTTTTCCGTGTCTGAAACTAATATTTGATTAAGTCACAACAAAAATCAATTATTTACAACACGTATTAAAAAATGTTGAATAAAGCCCGGAAAATTGGCAAGAGAGGTTGGCCTTTCCGCAGTAAGTGAAATTTACACTTACTCGATTTACACGACTAAGTGAAGTTAATATTAAATTTCGATATATACTAGTTTTTGAAAGCTTATTAAACAGAAGTAATTTTGATAACGATATTGAAAGAAATTTGTATTCCGATTAGAAAGGGGTTTGTTTCGATACTTGCTGGTGGAAAACGCAGACCAGGTGATCAACGATTTGGGAACCACTGAACGAGCTGGCTGCCGAAAGCTACTTGATGCGGCTAAGGACAACTGTAACGTCTGTAATGCCCAACTAAGTTAGTAAAGAAATGAGTAGTATATTCCCCAGATAAAAACATTTAAACAAAACAAAAATATTTTAGCTTGAAATTTATTTTTAACACTGTGAATATAACAACTAAAATATGTGTATGTATTGTATTTGCAAAATTAAAAAAAATTAAAACATATTTTATACATTCATGACTTCAATTATTTCGATTATTTCACAAGTTTGGTTTCTCTACATCTGGAGAAATAGAAGCTTTATCTCGACGTTTTCGATTTGAAATTGCACCATTTTTCAGAAAGTTATGCGGAGAATATTTATCATCACCGATTAAATCATTCAACGGATATCGTTTAACCACATCAATTCCTTTCGATTGAAAAACAATGTTTAGATCCTTCTGTATTTCCATATGCCATGGGACAGGTATCGGAATTGAAAGTTGAATTTGAGATGTCACTTCTGATGTCTTAGGCGCCTCTTCTGCAACTTGGCCATTTGTGACTTCATCGTCATCGTCATCGTGCAACACGGTGTGATGTTGTTCCACATGTTCTATTAAAAGCTCCAAAGTTTCATATTTTTCGCAACAATGAGAGTACTGGCACTCAAATTTGACCATTTTTAATAATTTTGATCTTAGAAACTTGAATTTATTCTGTTGACTTTACACAACCAATAAGTAAAAAAATTTTCTTCCCACGTTTATGTCAATTGCATCATATAAGAACAATGTTGCCAGATCAAATTATTAAACATGTGTTTTTTTAATTTACAAAAAAATTTATAAAAAAGGAATTTTAACACAATGTTCACACTTCACGATTTTCGAATGTGAATTGTTTTTATTTACACCGTAATACTTAAAAATTAATTCAGTTATAAATCAATGTTAATAAAATCTCAAAAATTCAATAAAATTTATATATTAATAATATAAATTTAAATAAGTTCTGTTTTTGGTTGAACTTCGACACAATTGCAGTTTCCTAAATATTGCAATTTTACAGATTTTGTTTGGAGAAAGTTTTTCAATTCAGCTAAATGTCGGTACTGTTTAAATAATCAGTTATCAAGATGTTACACACCGCTTTTCGTTCCTCCTGTGATGTGTTCCCTTACATCGACTAGAGTTAAAGATTTCCCAAGCTCATCAGACATGTTGTCAGACTTAGATTCGCGGACTTGTCGGATGCGTTTGGCAATAATTGATTCTAAAAATGTTTAAGAGCTAAGTACCGTTATTTAACGGTACCGTAATGTTTTAGAGTTAAGTACCGATATTTTTGCGCTCTTCTCTGTGGAGTTTCATTATTAACAAACACTAGTGCTCCGCTTTGTTACGTTTTCTGGTAAAATTTGTTTCAGCAAACCTAACTTTTTGCATAAGTCTGAAGTAAAACCTTTTCAGATTGAAAAAGAGATGGTCTTTCAGTTTACGATTGACTCTTGATCAGCACATTCAGCTACCGGCTGATACCCATTTCTTTTGTTTTTTCTTTAGTAGACTCTACATGTCGCGAAGAATGTTGTATTATCATGGCAATTGGGCAAGATAAATACTGGAAAATGGCGTAAATGGCTTGTATAGAGCCCCATGTACAAGTAAAGTATTTATACTACTGGTTGTAGTATCTAGATAAGCCATTTATGATTTAACTTAAGGCCCCAGCTAGGTTGATTATTAGCACGGGTCGTATTAAAATTTAGTTCAGCAGCGGCTAGGTTTTGCACTTACAGTTTGACCCATTACATTCAATTTCTGCTATCACGTCCTCGTCCTTCAACCTGGACAACGTGAACAACCAAATGAGAGACATGGTAACCAACTCGTGTTGATCTTGAAGTCACAGCTAACGAGACAGACAGCTTGGACGGAGCAATTTCGATATAATCGATTTAGCGGCTTACTGAAGTTGTGTAGCGGCTATTCACCAGAAAGGGCTACAGGCAGGTATTTGACTCGCTATACAATTTTCCGTGCTTCTGCTAAAATTTTGCGCTGTGCTGGCGAATTTAAAAATTTACCCAAGAAACAACAACAACTACAACTCTTGTTGAATTGAGTCTTTGGTGACACTATTTCGTCGATAAACAATCATCGGTTCAAAAATGATAGGTACAAAGTCTGCAAGTGGAAATCCTGTAGAAACTAATCCACCTGTATAGACAATGGCCGTCACAGCATGCACTCATATATGGAGGTGCAAAATTCATGTCAGAGAATCAAACAAAAACTATTGAGCTTGATTGCAACATGGAATGTTCAAACGTTATCAGAACTATCCATGGTCGAACAAGCTTTCAAAGTAAGGCGAGCTTACATCTTAGCACTCGCAGAAAATAGATGAAGAAGTATAGGAGAGTTCACAGCGCATACAGATAAACTCTTTGTAGATGTAGCAAATTTGCTAGAGCAAATGATGTTGGCATCATATCACGACATGCAAGATCTGCAAATACTCCTGGACAAATGTGAAAAGTGAACTTTAAACTTTAAATTTGATGCATTCAACTTCTAAAGTTTATTTTCTTATATATTACCAATTATAAACTTCAGTAGGTTTAAAAAGTCAACCTCAGAGTTTGAAAATATTGATTTAAACCCTAAAAAGTTTACAGGGTTGAGAATTTAAACTAAAATTTTCGACTATGTACATTTTACAGAAAGTGAATATAAACTTCATGTCTTCATTATCTTCAAATAATATATACATATTTAACATCGTATATAATTTTTATTTTGCTAACAAAAATCTGTGTTACAAAAGTTAGTGTGGCAACACTCAGTGTCTCAGTCTTAAACGTTCCTTCATAATAACTTTAACGACTGGAACACTCTTTTCTAATGCTTTTGCATATGTAAACAAACAAACACCTAAGCCAAGTACTGTGAAAAAAAGTGTTAAGGAAATATAAATAATTAATTTTTAAATTTACAATTAAATGTTTCGAAATTATAAATTACAATGGGAGTCTTATTTAAGAATGATTGTAAATATAAAAATTGCGGGCTAGAATTCGAAAATGTAGCAGCCTTGATACGCCACATAGAACAGGTTCATGTATTCGTAAGTGACAACGAAGAAACACGTGGTTATGAGCATATGATTGCGTTGAGTAAAATATTGCCGAATAATATTGAAGATGTTCAAATGGGTAAAATTAGCCATATCTACTCTAAATAAATATCCAAATTAATTATATTACAATTCAAATGAAAGGTATCCGTCTATGCCATGACAATCGTGCTCCGCAATTGCACACAGCATTGCCTGCATATTCTAATGAGAATGCCACTTCATCTATACAATCATATTATTTGGATGCTACTAACAGTCATGCATCACCACCTTCCTCGCTTGAATCGAATAGTTCTATTTAATTTTTTCAAGCGAATTAAGCTGGCAAATGGTACAAATACCATTTGTAATATTATTATTGAATTGCCTATTATATCACAAATAAAAACATCTGTAAGTAATGCTGCGACGCCGGCACCACCCACTCATATTCCTGATGATGGACAGCGCTTACATTCACAGTATTGTAGAAAAGAGTCCAAAACCCAGTTTTAATAACAGATCGATCACATAAAAAGCCATACCTTTCAAATTACCTAAAAAAATGAGTTTGAAAGCAAATGCTGAAAAACAGCATCGGATAGAGATACAGAAGAAGATATTAGAACTGTCGAAGATATATATAAATGTTCTAATTAACCTGAAGAAAAAATGGTTTGTCATCTCTCTAAACATTAATTTTTTGTATGCGCTTTAAATAAAACAAAATAAAATCATAAAAATATGTGTCTTAAGTTGAACAGAGTTACAATGTTATTGGTGTAAAGTTATGTATCTCAAAACTAGACAGTATAGTTTACCAATGAATTGCTAAAGGGCCAAAGATCGTTAAATTGATTGTGCAGCTGTGATAATCAAGAAAATTTCTTTGTGTTACAAACAGCCTGAGAAAATTTTAATGTTATTTTGCAATAATATAAAAATTTAATTAATTTCTCTAAACTGAAAGTTGTCAAAAAGAATCTTAATAGAAAAAAATACACATTTAAATGCTAAAAATCTTTTTCACCTGTGAAAGTGAATAAAAAAACTTTACAAAAAAATATTTAACTGTTAAAGTGAAGTAACAACATTTTGCAATTGAAATGAATTCGTATCCTGTACAAATCTTGCTACGAGCAACAAACTTTTCCGACAAACTTTGACTTTGGTTTTTGTTACAGTTTAACTTGGTTTCGTTGTTGACACAAAACAAAAACATTTTAAATAAAATACTTTATTTTTCATTTAAGGAAGGATTGAAGCAATTACACGCCCACAGTTTTGTTAAGGGGAAAGACTATCTATTTAAGCTGGAAAAACAAACTCAAGAAAAAGGTTGAAAATGATATTTGTATTAAAGAAGAGCAGGATATAAAGCAGGATATGATTAAGTTGAAACAAATGCTAATCCTATATTCATAAATAAATAATAACATTTAAGATCTTATAAAGTTTATAATGCAAATATATTTCCACTAAAAAAAATAACAATAGACAGCATACGTAATAAGTGCTTAAGAGTAGTTGATGAAAATTAACAAACAGTTGGATATACGAAAACTAAATTATAATAAGCAACATAAATTTTAAAAAGAACATATATATCGTGTAAATACATACATATATATAAATATATTTAGAATATAATTAATGTGATGATAAATAATAATTAAATAAAATATATTAGTTAATTCTTAATTAATTGCTTTTATTTGTTTTTGAAATGTGTAACAAAATTTATGGTCGTATGAATTATAAATCCTCATTGCGAACTCAGACTGATAACACCGTGAAATGGGTACAATTATTTACCTAGAACATGGCTGTAAGACTTGACACGAAATATAGTTATATCTGTATGGATCTTAAAATTTTATTGAAATGCACAATTATTATTGTAGTGTTATTGGATTACTTCTGGTAGATCCAATGGTAAAAATTTATTCAAACCAAACATAAAAATACTCTAGATATGAAAAAACAATACTGTAAAGCAATAAAAATAATTTAGAATGTATTTCATATACGTAATATTATACGCAACAGAAGTTTAGAAACAAACCAGGTAGAAATTTTGTTGAGCATTTAATAGTGCACATTGAAGAAACAAGGGTTCTGAAACAAGTCATATGGGTTTCTTATAATTATAGATGTTATGAATACCTCTTCAACTATAAATACCTGTGAATAAGTAATTTATTTTATAATTTTAAACAAAACAAATAAATATCAAATAATAAAAAATAAAGTCACTTGATCGCAAGTTATCCCTAAATTATGTATAAAAGTAGAAAAGTGAAATTGCTCACAGCATTCGTTATCTGGCTTTCGTCAAGTGCACATATATTGTAGACTAAGAGTAATAGAACTTATAACAATTTTCGCAATGGAATACGACAGTAATCATCATTTCGATCAAGAATTCGATTTGTTATTTGAAGTAGCTGGTGGTAAAAGACACATCGTGGAATTAGCATCACAAAGTGAAATCAAGCATGACGAACCACTAACCTACAGACCAGTAAAATCTGCAAGAAGAAGAATAGCACACGTACCGAAATATATGAATGATGTGGATGTTATTGCAATCGATTATAATCAAAAAGATACATCTAGAAAAATCACGGAACAACATGGAACCATAAAACCTATTGATTTGAAGAAGAAAAATAAACTTAAAGTGACATCTCAAACAGTACAAAATGCTTTAGTGAACGCAAGAGAGAAAAAATCGTCAAATTCAGAAAATAATATGAAGAGGAAGAGGGATGATCGAACTATATGTGCTGCTCAACAGAAAAAGCAAAAACTGTCTCAAAATATTCTAGACAATTTTATTAACTCAAGAAAGGCTCAAAAGAAATCTGTTAAAGAAAAAATATCGTCAGATCTTCATAATATTGTAAGTGTTACTGAATTTGTAAAACCGCAAGAAGCCCGACCATTAAAAGTAGATCAAAGATTGGAAATTTTGAAGAAATGCAAGCAGCTAAAAACTCAATCAAAAGTGAAAATACGTCCGTATTTGTACACAAAATACTGCTAGGCAAAATATAAAATTTTATACGAGTATAAAGACGGATATTTTTGTTAATAATATTTAATATGAAATATGAAATGTGAAATGACAAAGTATTTCTTACTGATACTCTTAATACTACATACATACTCTTGTAAATAGACATACATATCTTGTAAATACATATATATATATAAATTTATTTAAAATATAATTAATGTGATGATAAATAATAATTAAATAAAATATATTATTTAATTCTTAATTAATTGCTTTTATTTGTTTTTGAAATGTGTAACAAAATTTATGGGTCCTATGAATTATATATCCTCATTGCGAAATCAGACTGATAACACCGTGAAATGGGTACAATTATTTACCTAGAACATGGCTGTAAGACTTGACACGAAATATAGTTATATCTGTATGGATCTTAAAATTTTATTGAAATGCACAATTATTATTGTAGTGTTATTGGATTACTTCTGGTAGATCCAATGGTAAAAATTTATTCAAACCAAACATGAAAATACTCTAGATATGAAAAAACAATACTGTAAAGCAATAAAAATAATTTAGAATGTATTTCATATACGTAATATTATACGCAACAGAAGTTTAGAAACAAACCAGGTAGAAATTTTGTTGAGCATTTAATAGTGCACATTGAAGAAGCAAGGGTTCTGAAACAAGTCATATGGGTTTCTTATAATTTTAGATGTTATGAATATCTCTTCAACTATAAATACCTGTGAATAAGTAATTTATTTTATAATTTTAAACAAAACAAATAAATAACAAATAATAAAAAATAAAGTCACTTGATCGCAAGTTATCCCTAAATTATGTATAAAAGTAGAAAAGTGAAATTGCTCACAGCATTCGTTATCTGGTTTTCGTTAAGTGCACATATATTGTAGACTAAGAGTAATAGAACTTATAACAATTTTCGCAATGGAATACGACAGTAATCATCATTTCGATCAAGAATTCGATTTGTTATTTGAAGTAGCTGGTGGTAAAAGACACATCGTGGAATTAACATCACAAAGTGAAATCAAGCATGATGAACCACTAACCTACAGACCAGTAAAATCTGCAAGAAGAAGAATAGCACACGTACCGAAATATATGAATGATGTGGATGTTATTGCAATCGATTATAATCAAAAAGATACATCTAGAAAAATCACAGAACAACATGGAACCATACAACCTATTGATTTGAAGTAGAAAAATAAACTTAAAGTGACATCTCAAACAGTACAAAATGCTTTAGTGAACGCAAGAGAGAAAAAAGCGTCAAATTCAGAAAATAATATGAAGAGGAAGAGGGATGATCGAACTATATGTGCTGCTCAACAGAAAAAGCATAAAA